CCCGCGGCCCCCGCCGCCGCCGCCGCGCCCGCCGCGCACCCGCACCCCGGCTCGCTGGGGCAGGCGGCCGACCTGGAGGAGCTGTCGCCCAGCCCGCCGGCGCTGCACGGCCCCGTGGCTCCCCTGGCCCCCCTGGACTCGGCCGGCGTCGACTACAACGGCGGCATGGTCAGCCCCAACCTGCTCTACGGCAGGACGTGGTAATCGCTGCGTCCCGCGTGTGTTCCCCCGACAGCCCCGCTCCTCCGGCACCGGACGCTGCGCCCTGCCCGGTGCCCGCGGGGATCGCCGACGGCCGCCCCACCCCCGGTCCCCTCCCGGCCTCCCTTCGAGTTTTTTTTAAGTCTCTGCTGTTTTTGGACAAACGGCCCCGACGGCAGCGCCGAGTGCTTGCGTGAGTGTGAGTCAGCGTGGATGTGAGTGAGTGTTGGCGTGCACGCGTGTCCGCGCCTCCGTGTCCCGGCCGCCGAGAGCTCCTCCCGACGGGGCGGGGGCAGCCGGGGCAGCGCGGGGCTCCGCTCCGGCCCGGCCCCTCGCCCCGGCGGCAGCGCAGCCCGGGAGCCCCGGCGCGTACCGCGGCAGCCCCGCGGAGCGCCACGATAAACCCTCGTCTTGGCCGAATTAATTTCGTGGGGGTGCCCCCGGGTGCCATTCCGTTCTTATCTCCGTCCGAGGTAAATTGAGCCGCAGCTCAGTTGAGGCGGGAGCCGTGGCAGGAGAGCCCTGCAGCGCCGGTGCTCGGATTTAAGGGGAAACCCCCGTTTTTCTCGTTGTTGTTATTAAATACCGCGCAGTTAGTGAATGCCCGTGCGTGGACGGGGCGCGCGTCCCGCGGAACCGCTTCAAGCCCCCGGCCCTTGGCTCAGCTCCCGCCGAGCTCAGAGCCCTGCGGAGGTGACGGAGGGCCCGGGGATTCCCGGGGCTGGACCCCGCTTCCCGCCGGGATCGGACCCCGCAGCAGCCGGGGCCGGAGGATGCGCTGCGCCGGAGCGGGGTTTATCCCCGCGCCGCTTTCCGAGGAAATCCCACATGTCGGGAAACGCTCCTCGGGACTTTCCGGCAATTTTTCTTTCTTTTATTTTTTATTTTAATTTTATTTTAAACAATAAAAGGAAGCCTTGTTCTCACGACTCGGCTGTTTCTTTCTCGGTGTGCGGACTGAAGGACAACCTCAAAATCCCCTTTTTTCTGCCTCCCTGTCGGCTGCCAAGGATTTAATTCCACGGCCCTGCCACCTCTGCCAGGCTCCCCCATCCTTGGGGGACCCGCTGAACCCCAGCCCCGGCGGGGCTCCCCAGCCCCGGGAAGTGCCAGGAGCCTCTCCAACTCCCGGCTGTGCCATGAAGGAGCGATTCTGAGATGGAAAATCGGGATTTTGGCCTCTGCTAGACCACAGACCCGTCCCCAGGCCCCATGCAGGAGCCTGGAGGGGAAGGGAATCTCCACCGTTCTTCTGGAAAGAGACCCCCCCCAGCTCCCTCCCCTTTCCATGAGGGAGAATTTCTCCCTGCTGGGTCCCATGGGAAACAGCCTAGAGTGTTTGGGATGGGACTGAGCCCAGCCTGGTGAGTGGCTTCCCCCTCAAACTGTTAAATCCAAGGGGATATGTTGGGCTCAGCTCCAGCCTGGGAAAAAAAAAAAAAGTATCTGTCAGCAAAGCAGCCTGAGGAGCTCCACAGGGATGCTGTCCCAGGGTGACCCCCAGCCCCCGAGGGCACAGGCAGCTGAAGCAGAGCCCCAGGTAGGGTGGTGCTGCCCAGCCAGGTCCTGCATCCCAGAGCCAAGGAAACGAAGCCTCCAGGCTGCTCCTAGCAGCATTCCAAGGGTCCGAGGGGACAGCGCAGCTCCCAGGGCCCAGGCTGCCTCCACTGGGGATCAGACTGCAAGGGGGTGAAGGGTTGGGCAAAGTGAAGCCTGCAGGGATGAGCCTTTCCCAGAGCAGCCCCCCCAGATGTTTACCCAGACTTTTTGTGCCCCAAAAAATGGGAGCAAGGGACAAAGCCACCAGCACCCGTGTCCATCCACCTTTGGAATGTAGGCGACCCACCGCACTCCTTCCTCCAGCCCATTCCCATGAAAACTCACCCTCAGAGCTGGTTTTGTCCTGCTGGAAAAGCAAAATGGCTCTTTTTGAGCACCCCAATATTTTCCCAGCTGCGGGAGAAGGCCCTGGGGAGGGCTGGCAGATCCCAGCCCCGGGAATGCTGCATCACAATGAAGGATTCTGCTCCACCTTCCATCATTTGAAAATAATGAGTCCAGGTTGATTTCTTCCTTCCAAGTTAAAAGGGGTTGTCAGGGCTTTTGCCCCAGTTGCTGGTGATTAACACCGGGATGTTTGGAAAGAAGGGAGCACCAAGGAGTTGGGGCCAGAGAGGGACTGGGAACTTTACTGATTTACACAATACCTGGATTTAATGGAAAAATCCAAAGGGAAAGCTGAACTGAATGCTCTCCTCATTTTTTTTTTTTTTTTTTTTTTATTAAACAAAGATTTCTAAATGGTAGAGGTTAGGTGGAATTATTTTCCAATAAATCAACAGGAATGCGTGCACACAGGTGAAAGATACAAACAGGCTCTGGAGGGGGCTGGAAATTAACCACACACCACTGCTCAGAATTTCAAAAGCCACTTTATAAAGCAAATAAAAATATTTACTGATTTGGTACACTCACACAGAAAATCCCTAGAAAGAGTGCTAAAAACGAATGGAATTTCTGCCCTTCGCAGCCGTTTTAAATTAGGTATCAAACAGACAAACCCACGGCCCCTGCCTGGTTATGCCATGACAAAACCCACGCCAGAAACAGGCACACATCCAAAAAGTTGAAATGTTTTACTTCAGAGTCCGAGAAGCCGAAGGAAGCATCTGCCAAGGAGCAGCGAGGGCCGTGTCTTCCAGTGCCGCCGGCTGCCTGCCGGGTCTGCCCCGAGAGTTCATAAAATCCCATTTCTGGGCATTCTTTCCAACTCCTTGTCTGTTTTCAGGCTCTTGTGTGTGGAGTAGAGATGTTTGGAGTTCAGAGTGGCGGGCAGCGCTCGGCACAGCTTGGATATGTAAGGAGGACAAAGCAGCACTCCTACCTCTTCCGACGGCAATCCGCTCTTTCCAGTCCCTCCCAAAAAATCATCATCAGGTCCGTAAGAAATGTGCACATTTAAAACAGGCATCCGTTTAAAAACTACAGGGACGGTGCTTAACAACTTCATTTTTTTTTTTCCCCCTCGCCCCACAAATAATAAAAAGAACAAAAGCAAAAACCCCAGACATTTTCCACGTTTAAAAAAATCCAGGAGGCAGGAGCTAATTCCAGCTGTACCTTCCTGCAGGAGGTGGGAGCGGGAAGGGCCTCCCGGGGCCGTACGCCTGCAAACAAACAAACAAAAGCAAGCATTTATTTTTGGGATTAGCAGCACGAGTAAACAAGTGGGGTGAGCTCGAGGCGCCATACAGAATGGGGACAAAACATCCTCTGCACAGAGAGGTGCCAGGGGCAGGGCTGAGCATCCCTTATCCAACTCTGGAGTCTCCCAAAAACACGGCTGGGGCTGGATTGCCTGGTGCAGAGCGGAGCTGCGCAGGAATCCCAAATAAATCCATCCCCAGGCAGCACCGTGGGCAAGGGACTTCCCACCTGTGACACCTCTGCTGTGCTCCGCTGCAAAGGGACAAATGTTGGAGCCAGGGACGTGGGGCAGCTCACACTCAGCATTTTTACACAAAAGTATTTTAAGGAAAAACGAAAGCTTGTTTGTTGTAGAAGAGGCGTTTTCCAGCACTCATTCGGTTTAATAAGAGGTCAAAGAGATCCAAATCCCACTTTGGAAATGACTCCAAATCAGATGTACATTTGTACTTAGATTCAGGCATTTGGTACATCAAGTATCCAGTGGAAAAATCCGTTTGAAAATTTCACAAAACCTCCATGAAGCATTCAAAATTATTTCCAAACCTGGTACATTGCAGAGACCAGCAAGTTAATTAAAGGTGATGCACCAACACCAGCTACAGGCTTGGTTTGCTCTTTACTCAGGGATTTTGGGTGCAGAAGGAAAAAGGGGCTTCCCTTCCTTGAAAAGAGAAATCTCTCTTCCTCACAGCACACGGCGGCCGGGATAACCACGGAAACCACGAAGCCGGTGAGCAGACCTGCCAGGGAGGCTCCTGCAGCCTGCCCATGCAGGAAGGTTTGTTTCCAGGCTTGATGAACTCAATTTAAAAAATAAACAAGTTGGCCACATCCCTTAAAAAACCCTTCCAAACCATCAGCAGGGAAGGACAAAGCGGAGGTCTGGGAGTGCTGCAGCAGCCGCGGACGCTCCGTTGTGTGCTGCTCCGGGCTGGAATAAAACTGCCCAACACCTGCACCACCCCAGCAAGCTCATTCTTTGGTTCTCTGGGAGAGCTGGAAGGCAGCAAAGCCCCACTCCCAGGGAGCCCCCCAGATCCATGGCAGCTGCATTAATTTTGTAAGCACTCTGCGGCAGCGCGTTTATTAACCTCTTCAGACCATGTTCTGTACGCTGTAAAAAAAGAATTCAGAGGTGAAAGGGCCCAAAGATAATTATTTATGCTGCTACGTGTCACCACTTCCACTTGAATCCCTTTTCAAGGCTTTAAAGCTTTGAAATTTTCAGGCAGCAAGGCCGGATTCAATGATTAGGCTGGCACCCTAAACCCTTTCAGGTACTTTCTCATTTCACTCCAGTCTGGAAGAAATAATGACATCTGAAAGTTCATTTAAAAATAACAAGAACAGAAAAAAAGAAAAAAAAAAGAGAAAATTAAAGCAGATAAACAGTTGCAGCGAACTGCAAAGGGAATTTTTTAAGGCAGCAAAATTCACTGGAGCTGTAAGATTTGTGCTCAATCATGAACTCATAATGTATATGAATAAAAATTAAAAAAGGGTTGTCACCGCTGGGTTAAACGTTTCCTGCACCCGCAGGCGGGACCATGCAGCTCTGGGGGAATTCTGTTCTGGGAAAGACCACACCTTCAACCAGGCTGTGGATGTCCACAGGGCTCCAAAGTGGGAATTAACAGGGATACCCTCCCTGGGCCCCCACTGTCAACCCTGCTGGGAAACCATTCCTGCTCCCCCTCACGATTCCAGCTGTTGGGCACCACAATTTACGGCTGGGAATGAAGTGCTCCAAGCACAGATTCCTTTAGCAGGTGCATCCTGCCCAGGATGAAGGG